AGAAAGAGCGCGTAAGAGATTAATACCTTATAGCTCTTAAACTAATGAGAAGTATTACCTTATAGGAATCCTAGCTTACTAAGTACGATTAGGCAGCTATAGAAGTGGAGACCTATCTAGTTACTAAAGTAACGTAATTAGATACAGTCACAAAGGATTTTCTAGTAGCTATTAATAAAGTGGCACCTATATGGGCTACAGCCTTCTAAGACTATAGTAGATACGCCACCGGCATAACTAGAAAGGAGATAATAAAATAGTTCTAAGAACACATAATGGCCAATCATCTAAGTATAAAAGGGAAGCATAGAGCAGCCTTCATAACTATAGATTAATCTAGTAGTGATCCATATGGAAGCTTTCTCGCTAATAGTGGTGAAACCACTTAGGGTAATAATAGGGACGCCTCTTATGCTAAATATGCGCCATCTAAGGGACGTCCCTTAAAATGAAAGAGAGTGCAACCATATAGGGCCTCTTAGCCATCTAATAATGAGCTAAATACTATAGGCCCATGCCTAGCGTGTAAATAAAGCTATATAGCTAAGGACTACTACTATCTTCATAAGGAAAAGGCACCTATATAGTAGAAACCAAGACTAGCTATTAGCAAACTAATAGAGCTTAAACGTAAGTATAATAGCACGTTTTAAGGGCTAATTTAAGGTTAAAGTAGATTACGAACACAAACACCTTATATTAAATAGTCCCATACGCCAACGCCGACCCGATTAATAGAAGTAAGTAATAAGTAACTAGATGGTTATAAAATCTATACTACAACTATAAGTATAAGTTTTAACATTATTATATAATCTAATCTAAATACATACCCACTCCGTAACTTAGTAATCCTTAACTTAGGCATAACTTACCATATCTTTAATAACATTAATTAATTTGTCGCACTAAGGCCACTAAGGCTAGGCGACTTTATATGGGCTAGGAATACACAAGTTTAGATATAAGGATATGGTAGCATCTATATATATTTAAAGAGCACGCGCGGCAATAGTATAATTAGGCTAGATAATATAGTATACTACCCTAATCTACTCTATAACCTAGTGTCGTTTCGCCTACTTAGATATTAAGGACTATAGTAGGATACCAAGTCCAACCCCACAGCAATTAAACGAGCAGATAATATAGTGATTATAGAGCTTTAAGAACTATACGGCCAATAGATACTTAAATACTAACCTTTGGACCAATTATATACTATAAGTAATAGTATAGCTTTTATCGTATATAAGATTAACTTACGTATAAAGTGGAGGGTAGCTATTACTAGTATAGAGATATAGTATAAATAATTAGGCTATCTAGGACCTAGTGCGCTTAAGCACCTAGTGTAGTAAGCTAAGGGGGTATGCATTAAGGGCGTACCTATAGTTAAATATAATGCCTATGGTAGAGTAAAGTTAAAATAATAGA